TAAGATAGAAGTTAAAATAGCCCAGATAAATCCCCTATAGTGAGTTAGAAGAACAGCAAATAGTCTTGAGCCCAGGCTGATCACTGTCATCTTTGGGAGAGAGGGACCATTCATTTAAGACACACCAGGAATGAAATAGTGGGTCTCACTTCTCTGCCATCACTGTTTTTCAATTCTGTCCCAAGAATAATAAAACCTCTCAAAGGTCATAGAGAAACCCATATTCACTTTGTAATCATTCCATTTATTATTATTATTATTTTTACTTTTGTGGGCTGTCATAGCCAATCTTATCGGCTATAAGAAAATACTTGACACCATGTAATTTATAAAAGGCAAAACTTCACTTCTCATAGCTCTGGGGACTGGGAAGTGCCAGATCACAGTGTTCATCAGGATGTGTGTCCGGTGGTGAGGTTTACTCTGTTTCCAAGATGGTTGCTGTGTCCTCTGAGGCTCTGAGCGGGATGGATGCTGCCACTCCATGTGAAGCAGGGACAAGACATCAGGAGAGCGCTCGATTGGACCTTGTCTTAGAAATGTACTAACCTGACTCCATGAGCAGAGACCTCATGAATGACGCAATGGCCTTCCAAAGGCCATGCCTCTTCACACCACTGCAATAGGAACTACATTTCAACATGTTTTTTGTAGAAGAGACAAATGTTACAATCATAGAATGTGGCCTGCTGGGGAGTTCAGTTGTATGTATAAAGGCCTGGGTTTGAGCCTCAGCACCGTATAAACCAGGCGTAATGACATTGGCCTATTCCCCTAGCATCAGGGAGGTAAAGGCAGGAATTTCAAAAGCTCAGGATCATCTTCAGCTGCATGGTAAGTTTGAGAAACATCATGACACCCTTTCTCAAAAAATAAAACCAAGCAATCCACCTCAAAACAACACACACAGTCACACACACACACATAGACAAACACAGCACACACAGACACACACATACACACACACACACACACACAAACACACACACACACACACACACACACACAACCAAACCAAAACAAACCAAACCAAAACAAACAAGCATAAAACAAAAAACAACCACAGAATGAGTCACTCAAACTGCAGCCACTGGTTGGTCACCTACATGACTTGGTAATTGATGAAAATTGATAATTTCACTGGCCTTCTATTAGAATTGCATAATATTCCATGAAATCATAATTTTGCATCGCATTCTTGAAACAGGCCAAGAAACCACAGGATAAAAGCAGTGAGGAGCGTGGGTTTGGAACAAGCAGACCTGTTGAAGCCATGTTCCTGAGGTCTGGAAGCAAAGACTTGGCAGCGGAATTTGGAGGCTCAAGAGAGCTTCAGAGGAGGGGGCCTCCCAGCCCCCCCTTTCCGGAGCTGATTTATGTTATGTTCAAACAAAATGTCTTGCTTCCTGAGTGTTGCGTTGGCTTCACTTCCCCACAGTAGCTGTTCTTCTTCCAAAGCCATCAAGAAGAATTTTCTCAGTGGTCAAACAGCCATGAAGGTCTAATGTTGCACAACATTCTCCGGCCAGGAAGGTTGTCTGCAGACAGCCCTGAGATGACTTCGGGAAAGAAGAAACTGAATAAATAGCCCACATCCAGCCAGGGTCAGGGCAACCCATCCACTTCACATCTGGCATATCAGCCTAGTCCAAAGGGAGCAGACGGAATCTCAGACAGTGCTCAGCCATTGTTAAGATGTGCGTGTGTTGCATTTATGTATATACGTGTGTGCCTGCATGAGAGTATGTGTGTCATGTGCATGCAGGAGCCCACAGAGGCCACAAGAGGGTGTTGGATGCGGAACTGAAGTCACAGATGGTTAAAATTATTGCTGTGGGTTATGGAACCAAACTTGGGTCCTCTGAGAGAGGAGCTAGTGTTCTTGACTGGTGAGCCATCTCTTCAGCTCTGAGATCTCAGTCTTTTGAGAATATACTGTGTGTTAACTCCTCGATGCCTCCCAAGCACTTTGTCCATGTTCTCATTAGTGTGTTTATCACATTCTGTTTAGACTTATCTATTCATGTTTGCCGAGAGACTTCAATTTCTTTGAGGGCTGAGATAAAATTCTTCATATCTATATTTTCAAAGCCAAATGCAATGCCTATGTACAATAAGCATTGCTGTTGGCTAATGCATAAATGTATAAGCCAGTGCCTGAAGGCTACTAGTAATTTGATCATGCAGTTACAAGATCTGCTGAGGCCTGAGGATAAAACTCTGTTGATAGCGTGCATGCCCAGAATGCATGAAACCCTGTGTTTTATCCCCAGTACATGAATACTAGATGTCATGGCACACATCTGCAATCCCAGTGTTTATGAAGTAAAGACAGGAGGATCATTAGTTCAAGGTCTTTCTAGATTTTTCCTGTTGAACTAGTGTCATCTCATGAACAAAATTGTGTCCCCCAGACAAGGACACTGCTAAGTGTCGATGACCTTCAGCATGTAGACTAGAGTTGGTAGCGGAGAGACAAGTTTCCAGAATTGATTGTAAGTGGGGCCTGGGGGATGTACAACCTTATTGTGGTCACAGGAAGACCCCAGTGCTTAAAGTAACTTGGATGACTTGCTTGCAACTGAAGGAGCCTGGCCAGAAAGCACATTTCCATGTGTGGTACAGTCCTGGTGTCTGAATAATTCAGTGTAATTTCACAGAAGCCAAAGGGACTGTCTGTGACCCACCTGAGCTACTTCTACCTTTTTATTCAAAAGTATGGAACCTGTGTGAGATGGCAGTGGCTGCTACTGCTGATATTAGCAAACACATACCAACTGACACTGCTTTAAGAGTCAGTTCTTATTTCATAACAACTCCCAGGAGGGGAGCAGACAACAGTTATTCCAGTTATCTAGCACTTCAGTTCCCCTAAGTGCAAATGTATTCCTGCTGCCCCTTTGTTCCATTTCTTTTGGGACAAGGTCTCCCTTTATCCTAGACTGGCCACTCCTGCTGCGTAGCTTAGGCAGTCCTCAGATTTGAGCCTTCTAGGTGCTGGGATAACAGGCACACAGCACTCTCCACGATTTTAACTTTCTGATTGCAATAGCTCAGATAACATCCTTCTAATGTAGCATATTAGGTCACCTCCTGAGACTGAAACTTAACTCTCTAATGACTGGCATTGGCCTATAGAGCAGGCTAGACCCAAGAAGCAGCCAAGGCTTTGGAGACACAATGGCCTTATTCAATGCTTGTTGAAAACTGAATGCTGGGATTATTTTGAAGCTGTGTGATCATACAGATGAAATGTCTCACCCATAGACCTTGGGCCGGAATGCTGTCTATTATTCCTGTGATCCTGTCCTGATCCTAATCCCTTTTGGAATTCCCTTATTGGAATTCCTGTCTTAGACCAAGGCATGTGGTTATGAAGGATTTATGGGTGGCAAATTTTGGTTTTCTGAGAGCATCTGCTATTTAGAAAATGCAGAAGGCAGCTGGAGCCCAGCCTGGTAAATAAGTTGAGAAATCTGACTTCTTAATCTCATTCATATGTGATCAGAATCAAAGAGATTGATTTTCTGATGCATTTCACAAACTGTATGTGAGAGCAATTCCAAACCACGACTCCACAGACGCTTGGTAGGTATGTTACTAACAATGGAATACGAACATAATCTAGAAAGGTGACTATTTTAATAGACCTCTTTTTTTTTTTTTTTTAAACTCTTTGTTAAAAATCTTATGGGGCTGGTGATGTAGCTCATTCGGTAGATTGCATGCCTAACATTCAACACTCACAAAAGCCTAGGTTCCAACCCCAACCCTGCATAAAACAGGCCTGGTAGCTCACACTTGTAATCTTAGCACTTGGGAGGTGGGAATAGGAGGATCAGGAGTTCAAAGCTATCCTCATCAACAAAGGGTGTTCAAGGCTAACCTGGGATACACTAGACCCTGTCTCAAAAAAAAAAATCTTAAGAAGTTTTGTTTCTAAAACCCCAAAATTCCAAGTGGTCCTGGTTGCATTTTCATGGGCAGTCCATGGACGATATCTGGAGGCCAGTGTGGCTGAGTTCATCACTTTGATCACTTGGACCTGTAGCCCTGATGGATTCTGAGTTTGAGTTCATCGCCATGATCTTTGGTCCTTCAGGGTAGGGTAGCCATGTCAGTTCCTTGACTTCCTCACTAATTATATTCGAGCTGGACTGAAGTCACAAGCCTCTGCTCTGCTTCAATTTCCTACACGCTGAGAGGAGAATAGCTTGAAGCTGAGCAGAAAATGCTGATATGCTTAAAAGAAAGAACCCAAGAAGCCAGATAAACAAACCTCAGGGAATTTTAACCAAGGGACGATGGCCAAACAAGAGTTGCAGCCAGCCAAAATACCGACTATTTTATTTGAAATGGAATGATATTTCAGTATCTGCTGTGCCTGTCAGCACGGTATTATAATAATACGTTTAACCATTCATTAAAAACGAAGAGAAGATGGAAGAGATCATTTTCACAAGATCTCGTCAGCATCAAAGGAGGCAGAAATGGGTACCAAACAAGTGATCGTTATAAACAGTCAGGTCTATGAGCAGCAGGAATAAGAAGTGTGTACTGTCAGGGCCAGTTAGATGGCTCAGTGGGTAGAGGCTTGTTGCCAAAACCGACAACCTGACCTTGGTCCTCAGGACCTACATGATGGAAGGAGAGAACCAACTCCTACAAGCTGTCCTCTGACTTCCACATGGGCACTATGGCGTGCACACACACCCCCCATACATATACATGCACACACACCAATGAATAAATAAACAACAAAATATCTACAGTCAGGTGACAGACAGTTCTAGGAAAGCTACTGCCTAGAATGAATGATATGAGTGAATGATATGAATGAATGAATGATAATTTTGGTCATGACTTATGGTTGTTCTTCAGCCACCTTCTCCAACGGCTTCCTCGGGGAAAGGGGTGAGAGGACGAGGCGTCAAGGACACAGACACCAGGAGTCAGGTAAAGGCAAACAGCAGACTTATCTATTCAATAACAGGGAAGGCCTTATACACCCTTCTCCCAGGACCCAAGCTGTGTCCCAGTCTGGTGGCATTGCATGGTCATGCCCCATTGGTTGGGTATGATCAGGAACTCTGACAGCCCCTGTTGCTAGGTGCTCAGGCAGATTCCAGGTTGGCTTATAACCTGTTATGTGCAAGTCTGGGCAACTGGTTTGAGCCAATTTCCTCAACCCTGTGGACCTGTCCTACCACATTTTCTCAGTGATTATTGCATTGGACCCACTGTGGTGAAGTGAGAAGTTGAAACAATTAACCAGAGAATTCAGACAAGAAGGTCATTATAATATGTATTTTGAATATGTTTTTATTATTAAAACAATATTAACACCAATATTTGAACACATGAAGAAATTAACTACCAAGATGATAATAAAAATTACCCATATCATCACTGTTCAGAAATAGAAACTTAAAAGTTTGATTATTTCCCCCCCCCTTTTGATTTAAATGCTTTATAGGCCAATATTCCAAGGTAAAATTGCAATGTGTGTGTCATTTAATATTTTGATCTTTCACTTTCACATATTATGAGTTGTTAAAAGATTTTTTAAGAGGTTTCTGGATAATCAAACATATGCCTAGAATATAAAGTTATCATTGGAATTCCTACTGTTGAATGTGTAACCTTTTCCTAGTAGTACATGCCTATAATGATAAGTATTTCTAGATAATATTTTATGCCCTGTTTTTATGATTTATTTGTGTGCACTCTGAGAAGTGGAATTCCTAAGTTGAGGATCTCCATCAACTGAATTACATCCCAGCTCAAAGTTCTTCTCCCCCCCACCCCAAAGTTCTTTTTTCCCTCTCTTCTACTCATCTCTGTTGTCTTCCCTTCCCTGTCTCTCCCCTCCTCTCCTATGATGGATAGTTTTATGTCACCTTGACACAGCTAAAGTCATCTGAGCCTCAACTGAGAAAATGCCTCCTCAAGATCAGGTTGTAGGCAAGCCTGTTAAACATTTTCTCAATTAATGATTGGTTGGAGAGGGCCCAGCCCATTGTGGGTGGAGCCATCCCTGGGCTGGTGGTCCTGGGTTCTATAGGAAAGCAGGCTAATTAAGCCAGGATGAGAAAGCCAGTAAGTGGCACTCCCCAATGGCCTTGGCATCAGCTCCTGTTTCCAGGTTCCTGCCCTGCTTGAGTTTCTGCCCTGATTTCCTGTGTTGATGGACTGTGAAGTGAAAGCATAAGCCGAATAAACCCTTGCCTCCCCGACTTGCTTTTGGTCATGGTGCTCCATCATCTCCCTTTCTCTTTCCTCCTCCCCTTTTTCCTGTTTCACTATCTAGTTTTGGCTAGCCCAGAACTCACTAAGCTATAAACCAAACTGGCCTCAATCCTCTTGTTTCAGCTTCCTGAGCGCTGGCATTGCAGGTGTGAGCCGCCATGCCTACCTACATAATTTAAATTTATAGATTTTAGGTTAAAAAAAAGTAAGTGATGCCCCACTAACCTTTTGAAAAATAATGTAACCATGACCTCTTCCTCACTTTTCTTTCGGAAATAGCACCATCCACCTGACTCTGGATTGTTAGTCTCCATCTGATGGGAACCACCACATAAAACCAATCGGGATATACAGGGTTCACGGGGGACAGATACTTTGTCTCTTACACCATCACCTGTCTGGAGGGAGCTGGGTAGAACTTGTTAAGAGGTTCAAATGTTGTGAATACATTTGGGGACACCTGCCTTCTCCTAGGCCTTCATAAGCCTTGCTACAGAGCAAGGCTGGGTGACTTGTTATGACAGAGAGCTCAAGGACATGAGTCACCAACACTTCTCTGTCTAGAGTTTCCTCCTATGGACAGATCACATTGGTCAGGCCAAACGCTGACAAATACTCAGGCAGAGACCCTGAAATACAGCTTGAGGATTGGGCCTGTGGCTCGGTGATAGAGCGCTAACGCAGCATGCACAAGCTCCAGATTCCATCCCCTGCATTGGGAAGAAAAGAGTTGACATCAGAGGTCAAGAGAATCTGCAAAAGAAAAGAAGCCAGAGATAAAGGTAGGCATTGAAGGAGATGAGAGAGAGAGTTGACACGGCTTGGGAAAGACAGAGCAAAGAGAGGAACAATTAAACATTCCGTGACCACTGGGTTTGGATTTCCTGTGTGCACATTTCAAGCTTCAGGAGATGCTCCCACTGGCAAGTAGTTCCCTTTCACTCAAACTTACCAAAATGAGCGGCCCTTTCTCCTGAGCAAACTATCCTAGAAATCAACAGAATCGGCAGTGATCGATCAGTCCTCCCATTGGGGCAAATCTTTCAGCTTTTATGGCTGGGAACAGGTCAATATATCTTTATACAGTCTTCAAGACCAGTTATGTTTATGATTATACTTATAATTATTCTCAGGGATGGAGTGTTGCACAGCTCTATGGACAGTGCACGGTTGGAGGCCAGAGGACAACTCTGTAAAGTTGGTTCTCTCCTTCTGCCTTTTTGTGGGTTCCGGGGATTGAAGTCAAGTCACCAGGCTTGTCTAGCAAGAATGCTTTTACCCGCTGAATCATCTCACCAGCCCTCAATACATTTTTTTTTAAATAGGAAGAAATTAAAACAAAAACATGTGACCACTGACTGTACCTCATTTGAAAATGCTATGGAGTTTTTCCTCTCCTATAGATAGATCATATTGGTCAGACCACATGCTGACTTATGCATTTGTTCCCACCAAATGAGTCAGTTGAGAGTTTTAAAACACCCAAAACAAAAAACCCAAGTATCTCCCGATTGTTCTGGAAGACTCTCTAAAAAAGGAGCTGCTTGGTCTTCTTGGCTTACACTAACGAAAGTAACCAAGAAAACCTGGCTTCACTGTATTTCAAACAATAATATTAACTGTTTCCACTCCACTGGTGGGAATAGAGTGGTGAAAAACTATACATCGGCTTGGCATGCTTTCAGATCGGGTGTGTGTGAAAAATATTTGTTCCATAACCCAAGGAGCAATGGGTGAGAGCAGAGTTACTCTGTTTCCTGAGGAGGTCTCCATATGTACAGGAGCATGTATCTGGGATGGTGGGATGGGACAGAGACACTTTGAGGGATGTCAGCCCCTGTGCATTGCCACCAAGATCTTGCCTGTATGGAACTATGGTAAGAGTGGGCAAATGTAAGTAAACTGGGGTGTTTGTTGTTTTGTGTTTTTTTTGTTTTTTGTTTTTTTTTACTTTTACAGTTACCCCCACACATACACACACTTAACAATATTTCCAATGTCTATAGCTTTAGTTAACCACTGTAAATTAGAATATTTCAGAACTAATTCTGATTTTCCTTTTGGAGGAAGGGGTCTCATGTAGCCCAAGCTAACTTCGAAATTGCTGCAAAGTTGAGGATGACATTGAACTTCTGGTTTCTCCTGCCTTTACCTCCCGAGTGCTGGGGTCACAGGAACATTCCACCCCGCCCAGTTTTGTGTAGTGCTGCGGATCAAGCCTAGTGCTTTGAGCATGCTGGGTTAGCCCTCTACCAACTGAACTCCATGCCCAGACAATTCTTTAGCTTTAAGTAACAAAGCCTGAAGAGTTAGGAAATCTTCTTCCTTCCAGTCTAGAACATGACATGTCATTTTGTCCCACATGTCCACACTGTATATATTACTCATCTGTTATTCACTCAGTCATTCTTGCTGAGCAAACTGGGTGTGATGATATGTAGCGTTTGGCACTCTCCAGCTTCAAGAATTCCTGGAGGTCTTGGCATGGATCCTCTGCGGATGGGGTAGGTAACTACAGTTTTGAATGATGTCATAGACAATGATAGCATGGTGTGATCTATTGGAGAAAAGACTTAAGACACCATCAAGGTTGTAAGCAGAAGCTCCTGCTCCCACTTCTTCGCCATCTCCCAGAACTGAAATGCTGTGGTGTCTTAGTTCTCACATCCTGGGAAAGGACTCAGGCACAGAGATTTGTGTGGCTGGAGATTTACTGGGGGAGTGTTCTTGAACAACAGCCAATAGAGGAGGTAATGAAGCACGGTTGAGAAGAGGAGAAATTAAGCTGAGATGCTGTTGCAAGTGAGGCCTCAGCTGACCTCACAGGGATCTGACTTGGATGGCTTTCCAGAGTTATCTTGGGTTAAGTCAAGGGGAGTAGGTGCTTATCTCTCCACATCACTTGCTCACCATCGGATGCTGGCTAGTCTTGTAGACATGAGGAAAACATTGGCAAGGCAATTTCCGTTCGATGGGGGCTTTTCCCAAGGAAGTCCAGCCGTGGGCCTTTGACAACCCAACATATCTGATAACTGAAGAATCAAGGAATGCCGTTGGCCTCAAGGAGGACCAGGCCTGGGCATCGAAGTATTTGCTACAAGCCGTCTTACACCTCTTGAATCTAACATGGTATGTTCACTTCCACTGAGAAAGGCTTTCCAGAATTCTGCTTGGGCTCAATTCTTTGATAAGTTCACAAAAGACAGGTGACTGGAAAAACTACAGCCCCTCTCCCACAGCTGACTCTGAGGGGCCAACGTACACACATCGCCTTTATTACTGCCATTTGTAAGTTCTGGCCTCTATGACTAAAATCTGTCCTGGTACAGGCAACTTATCTGGAGAGCTGACCAGACCTCAGTCTTGAGGGGTCTGAACCCCTCACTCCAAGGTTCTTTTCAGACTGTGGCTTCTATGTTTGTTCATTTACTATCGAAGTAATTGGTCAGGGGTAAAAGCACCTGGGTGCTAAAATTATTCCTTCAGTTTTTATTCTAGCATTTGGGTAATTTGGGTCAGTTTATCCATGGGTATAAACTTACCATCTAAATTAATGGCCTTTTCCTTGTCTGCTGGTCTCAGGGCACTGGGTTCTTGATGTAACTGAGTGGCAGCCATGATTTAAAACTGAATGAGTCTCTCTGCAATGCTCAGTGGAAGCAATATTGCTCTGGAGACTAGGACCTCCAATGCACTGAGCCTAAAGTTTCAGGGATGGGAGCTTCCAATTTATCAAGCAGGAATTTCAGCATTGTGTCTGTTTTCAGCCCCCCTTCCAGTTTCCTGGGGCTCTGTCACAGACTGCATTGGAGCACGTCACAGTTCATGGGCTGTAGGCATGTGAGATGAAT